GAAGCCGAAGCCATTATCACCCCTTTATATCGCAATGCGCAGAAGCAGCTGGGTTTCATGCACCCCACAACCATCTACCACATGAACAATCTCGGGGTGGCTTTGGGTGGCCAGGGCAAATATCGGGAATCCGAATCAATCCTCAATGACACTGTCGGGATGAAATTTCAGGAGTTGGACCCGTCACATCTGAGTACCCTAGGCAGTATGATGAATATCGTCCTCGCCTATAAGGGTCAGGGCAATTGGCAGAGGGCTGAGGAAGTGCTGACTCAGATGATAAATATCAGAGTGAATGACCAGGGAGTCCCAGATCCTGACTTTTTGGATTGGAATGATTACTTGGGCGTCATTCTGGCAATTCAGCAGAAGTACGACGAGGCTGAGAGGGTGCTTATGCGCTGTTATGAGGTGCGGCAAAGGCTTGGACGTGATCCGTATATCTTTTGCACGCGATATACGCTGGAATGGGTTCAGAAGAAGAAGGGAGCATCCGCACAGGAAAAGAAGTCCGCCTGAGCAACGTTTCACATCTCTATATAATTTTCTAGTTTCCCTAAAGTCTTTGTCTGTGTTTTGTTTAATCTAACGAGTTCCTTCGGTATATACTCACTCAATGAACCAACTTGTTCTGTACTTTTTTCATTCAATTCGACAATCTGCTTTTACTCGAAAGTTGTAGTGTTTTCTAGTGCACTCCTGAAAAAAGTCTTGAATGATAGTTTCAACCTGTATGTCTCAAACTCTCTTACCACAACAATCGGCACCATGAAGAATGAAAAACGATGTGAAACAAATTTAGAAAAGGTTCCATTTAACATCACAAGCCTCCCCCAACTAAGTTGGACAACCTTCATATAACTCCTTGTTTTGAGTTGACAAAGGTACTCGACAGATGAGAATATTGTGTTATTTTCCTGCAAGTGATTCAAAGCTCTATGATCCCATCCCTGAATAAGCCTCTGCATGGGTCTTTTACTAGTAATACACAAACCAACCACTCTGCTAAAACAAGATATCCGAAAAGAGAAGGGGGAAATACAAGTGGTTAAACAAGAAGACGAACAAACAAGCCATCACAAAGGAAAGCAATCATATCATTCAGCGACAGAGGCATTTTGAGGAGGGACGGGAGTGCATGTCATTGACGATGTGACCGAATCGCCGGTGCCTTTCACATACTGTTGTTGATGGGTATGGGCGTCATTCAATGCTGAATTAGAAATCGATTCAGGCAAAGCTTTAATGCCATGGTTTTGAATATTGACAATGCCCTCTGCATCTGGCTCTGATTTTATCCCGTTGGATGGATTCAGGGGAACGTTTCCGCTTTGATCAGCATCTGGAGGAGCAGTGGATGTGGAGTTTGTAGATGTGGAATTAGGTTTTAATACAGGCTCCTCTGGTTTTGGAATGACATTTGGCCGCCACTTGAGGAGAAGTTTTGCAATGAGAGGGCGGGCTTCTTCGACTATACGATTGGAAATAGGAATTAGATACATTATGCCGATTTAATGGAGCTAAAGACCCACGAAAACAAGGGAACGTCGGATTGAGAAGGAACTGTGCTTACTTTTTCCGTACAGGTCTTGGAGAGCATCTAAGCAAAGATCCCTTGCAGGAGGCCGTACGAGGACGAGGTAGCTATCACTGCATTAGTATTCAATAATTTATATGTGGCGGGGATTTGCTTACTAAAGTGCCTGAACACATAGAGTAACGCGTTCAGGGTCATTTGCCAAACTCTTCGTTTTCTCCACGAGCTCGAGACTCAGTTCGGGTATCTCACTTAAAAATCTAATGAGCACCTTGTCTCTCGCGTCTAAATAAGGTAGTATTCCTTCCAGCAGCCTCATGACCCATTTTTCATAGTGCCTCGGGACTATCGCGTCATCAATATCACCATTATTCTCTGATGAAGAGTACCTTAATTGTATTCGGTCATTATACCACTCCTCATTCATCCAAGAAATAGCAACGTTGATTCGAACCCGAAAATCTTCAAGAACGTATCGGTAAAGCATCTCTCTGATGCCATCAGCCATACTCATGCGTTGCTTCGAGTGCGACTGTCGGCCGATTTCGGTTTTAACAATATTGTCCGCTTCGTCCACATCTAAACCAGCCGACGCACGAGTTGCCAATCGAGTAAGCAAGATTAACCAAGAGTCCCGATCGAATGAGCTTGCAGCCAATCTCCCGAAGCCTGGCTTCTGAGAACTCTTGACTGATTTTGACGGTTGCTCCAAGGTGGAAATCATTCCGAAAACTCTTTCAATTGCGCCCTTGCCAATTTCAGTGGCCTCTTCTCCTGATAATGGTGGAGGCTGAGGGAGTACAAATGGACCTAGAGCAACGAGTTCCGGTGCATGCTCGTCAATTTTAGACGCGTCAGGTCCCTCCAATGCCTGTGAATCGGTAGGTATATCCATTGGTTGGTATTCTGGTTCATAATCATCATCTTCTTCTTCGGTCGCTGGCTGAGCGGCAGCCAGAGAAGCTTGATGGTCGAAAATTTGCTTCTTGGATAATGTGAGGTATCGAGATCGAACAGCCTAAGTATCGTGAAGATAAGAATATATTCTTACTTTTAGGGTAAGAAACAAGACAGCATAAGTGGGCGTAACGTACCCCAACAGCTTGGTCCAACGCCTCAGGATCCACGCGACTCAATACGGGAATAGTGATATTGACAATTAGGTCTGCTGGTAGCTGCTTGACATCAAACGACGTCAATCCTGCATCGTCTGTCAATGTGAAAAGCTGTGCGAAACTATTAGGGCCGGGGGGGAGAGGCGGAATCTTTAGCTGAGGCGGCGTATCGACTCCAAGTCTTGCACGCTTTGCACTATCGACAAGATCGGTCGGCTCCGTTGGTAACGGCCTTTTCTTCGATGTTTCATCGAAGATATCATTTCGGGATTGCGCTAAACGATCTAAATACTGCTGTATACGTCCAGCCAAAGGATGGTTGGGGTTCCTGAAGCAACGATCAGAGACGTGGAGCCAAGTAACACAGCTGTAACTACACACCTTTTCATTATATTGAGGAGCAATGCCCTCGTGGTCCGTTCCACGGACTTGATATTTACTCGAATGGTGGGACTCATTGGTGCATTTGCTTGTTTAAGAGGATTGAAGTTAAGAATCGCATTTACAATCTTATTTGAAATCGACTGGCGGGTGCGTATCAGGATCGGAAGGCAATTTAGAGTCGCATTCACTAAGATAGGATCACTATGTTCGTTAATAATGTATATACTTTGCCTTACTGCCGACGCAGAGGGATACGAATACAAATACACACCTAGAATTTTCATAGAAAACGTTAAGAAGTCTATCTAACAATCCGGATGCCTCAGCTTCGAGATTAGGTAGCGGTACGAGAGGGTGATTTCTCGGCACAAGCGATAGAGAGATTTCATTTTTCTCAGGGAGCTGTAGATATGTTTAGTATTCCCAACATCAACGGTATCAATACGTGAATACATACCCTTGGATCTGAGATGACACCTGCTGTTTGGACTTGCACCACCTTCTGGACGAATTTGATACAGCAAACCTTGATGTTAATTGGAGCAGCATCCCATCGCTTTAGAATATTTTGCTTGATTGCTGTCATTTTCTCCCATAACGCATCCTCCGTGGGGTTATCGACACTAGTGAGAACACCCATCACATTAGAACCAGCTCTACTCAACATCAACACAAGATTACTGCTTCGATGGCTAATGTCGACCATCTAGCTTATCCCGCAATTATCTGTATGTCCTCAATTCCGGCATGTGAAGGGATTAAAGGGGTTGTGGAGCCCGGGTTTCGACATACATAGTTCTAAATATCAACGGGTAAATACTCGCAGCAGTTTGAATAATGCCTCTTACAACACTGACATCCTCATCCGGATTATTCAACAGCTCCCACAAGGTCTGTATCACCTGTGTACTCAACTTCTCTTTCGGCCGTTGGGCCAGCGCAGGACTCGCAAACGTTTCTGCTAGGAATTCGGCACCCCATCTTCGTAGTTCCAGCCGTGCCTTTGCACCTATTAATGGAAGTATACCCTGAACGATTTGCGGATACAAAGCAGCATCGCCAAGAACGACATTCCTCGCAGTGTCCAGCTGGGTCATCTGCTCCACGAGGTTGTCGAGTGGCAGGGCCATGATAGCTCTGGAGCGCCAGAGGGCACAAATCACAGGGAGTAAAATAGAGGGCCTCGTCAAATACTAATTCTGGTCGTAGAGAACTAATAATATTATTTTAGCCAGATGTATCTGGGGGGGCGGGGGGAATATTCATGGATGTAGATGCAGGATCCTTGGGTGGTAGAAGTTGCGGATTAGACTTGCTGTAGGACGGAATTCGAAGTGCAAGCCGAAGGAGCGGGCCAGGGAGGCTCTCTGTTCACATCGAGTAAAGGACGGCAATTAAAAAGAAAAAGATGGATGAACGCTATGGAGAAAAGGAAATGAATAGTTAGCTAGGCAGTCTTATTTGTTTATCTGATGGGTGTGAAGAAGTAATATCTGATACTTCTCTGGGCTGGCTCCGATTAAAGTAGCGAAGTGAAGCTCAGGACGACAGACACTCTAGCCTGTTTAGGATTGGTGCGAGCTGTTAATTTAGCCGCAGTAAGCGCCTACACACAGCACCATATGTTGGACTTAGTGAGACTTTGGGGAAGAGCCCTTCGTAGGGAATGAAGACAATCCGGATTAAAGAAGAAAAAAAATTCACATTTATCCATTAATCAAGGTACCAATGGCAATATCTTTTACCAAACTTTTCTCATCTCAAGTTAAGCGCAAAGAGGGTTGAATTCAGGCGCTTATATTATATCACGTGATGCAAGCTTTTCTCTAGCTCAGGTCCTTGATGTCAGTGAATCGATTCTAGGAGCACATTGTTTGCATGTTCAATATTTGAATGAGAATTATATCCACAATAAAGGTCAATATTCCGCTCTCCCGCCTTGGAGAAATACAATAGTAGCTGTCATGGCGATGTGCGCTTCCCTCCCACCTTAATTTTTCAAAGCTTAACCGCAGTCATTCGTCCATCATGAACTCCCAATATAGCTGACACCCTGCCCATTCCATAGTTTCAAATCCTCATACTACGATAAAGATTACAGAGCGGGAGCTGCTCTTCTTCGAGCCCGTCGACCGTATTTGTTTAAAAACGCTGCTACTGGAATCGCGCTTTTTGCCTTCTGTATTGGTGTTTGTAAGCTCAACCCGCTCCCTCCGTCCTCCAACCGTACCATCTTGACTTTCTCTAATTATTATGGGACTATAGATGCTTTCACGATAAATGCTGTTGGGCAAGATGATTTCTCCGACGTAATCGTCCCAGAGAAGAAGATGGTCGACACAGAACCAGCTCCGGCAGTGAAATAAATTTTTATTCATTTGTTCCATCTACTACAAAGGCCATCATCCATTCAACCCTACACACCAATCTTTACCTACTCAGAGTTTACGGACTGTTGAATTCTTATCCCTCCGATCTCCTTTCCGATGTCTTGGCGTTAGGGGTGGTGATTCTGATTTGCGGAAAAGGACCAAACTTTGAAGTTGATACTGAAGTTGATACTGTGACTGATGAGAAAAGGGTTCGGAATTAAGAATGTGATTGGGGGAAAGGCCTCGATTATACCAATTGGATAAGGGTGACGATATGGGAGAGTGTATTTCAAGGTTTTTGCGGAACTCCCTTTGGTCCTAATGGAGAGGATTTGTCCATACCTTGCTTATACCTATCAACCCAATAATTGATGCTTTGTCCGCTTCCATATTCTCTTCTCCGCTCTTCTTCAGTCTGAATCACGGTTGCTTATTTATTGCATAAATATTCTGTTTCTTGTATATTTCTTCTAGATTCCTCTCATATTCATATATGTACACGTCCATGCTTAATTTTCACCCTTGCCCAATCATCCACATCGGCTTACATATGCTTCCTCAATTAATTCACTCTTAAACCGCGAAGGACTTTGTGCTCTATGCCATACATTCCCACTCCTCGGCCCCCGTGCTCTGACTCACCATATGTCACTCACAGCTACCCATGGACTGCGAAATCCGTGACAAAGTGAAACCTTTATTTCCCCTGAACTTGCATATGAAATATAGTTATGCAAAATACGAATGACGGCCTGATTGCTACATAGTATTATTCAAAAGTACTATGAGTAGGGAGTAGGGAATCGATAGCTCGTAACTCGAGTTCTCTCAAATGTGACGAGATAGTAGAAGAGCGTAGCCTACTCCATGGCGATATCAAACTTCTGTGTCTGACAGGCCAAGAAGTGCAAATGGTATAAATATGGGAGCATCCGTTTTCTCAAAACGCCTTTCATAGTTAATTTTTTTAGTTCCATAAATCCATCAGTGGCCAGCAATCTGTGTGGCACTGATATGATAGCTTGGTGAGTGAAAACCCCGCCTCCCTTCTCTGAAGCATCCAAAAGCTAACAGATACAACCTCAAGCTTATAGATTGCTTTACATATCATCCCCTCGAATCTACTGGTCTGCGCAACGACTCGACCTTGCCCAGTCGTCATGGGAATCTTGTTGAACGCGGTTATCAATGTTGTGCTCTTTAGCAGCTTCATAGCGGTCCTTGCATCCCCTCTCAACTTTGCAAGTAAGTAAAAGGGCATTTCATACATTGAACAATCATGCACGCTGTTTCTTTCCCGGCAATCCGAAACACCAACAACTATCCTGCCCAAGCTTCAACTGAACTGGAATGGCAGATAATCAACTCGCCAAACGCGACTGCGGTGACAGAGTTTTCTGTCCAAGTTCCTTGGCTGAGTCATGGTGTGTCTCATGGGATACAGGATTTGCCATGTGCCAACAAAATCACGGGGCCAATCCGTCGTTAAATCTGAACCGCTGTAGATCTTGCGTTGAGAGCAACTGTGCGACGACAGGCTGTAATGAGGTTATGTCAGTCCAACGAAGAGCTACCTTTGAGGGATGAACAGGATGGGGGAAATGACGCAAAATTGCAGATGTACTTGTGTACCTTGGGACTGAAATGGAGATGTGTGTGCACACCTGGAGCTACTAAGTAGAACGTATAACGGTATCCGTACACCGAGTTTGCCAGTTGTTATCTGCTCAATTTCATATGTTAGTACCTTCAAAACATTCATTGGTGTCTTCTCCTTATGATACCTTTTCAAACATTGATTCGGTCTGTACATGCTGTTGCCATTCCTCATTCCAGAAACTCATTACAAGCAGGTTTCTACCGGGTTTGAAGTTTTTCGTTGCATGGAAACGAAGTTGACCATACTTTTTTTACCTTTTGGCGGGGAGCCTAGACTCGACCAAACACCGAACCCTGCATATCACTGCCATGGGATTCCCGCGTCACCTAGACACGACTGGTATTTACCATTGTCGCACATATCCGGTTCATTGGCTACTAAATAGCTTGTGACAACCTTGTGTCAACAATCGCTCTTCAACGTCTTGCACTCAACGTGTTCCACACCTGCATGTTGTTCAAAACAACAGTCGGGCGTCCCATCAGCGATGGACGGTGTGGGAACTGAGACAATATTGGACTTTATGGTCATTGGAGCTAGTCGACAAGATACAGTTCATGGACCCCCTCGAAGAACTGTGACGGATGTTGAAAGTGGGGGTCACTGGTCCAAGTTAGGTCATCGAAGGTGTTGAATTTAAGTTAAGGTTTGATAAGATCTAATTAACCCTAACCTTATCTTCCACTTGTTTTTTTATGCAGGCCTTTTTAGATAGGAGGAATCGTTTAGTGGATATATTAAGCACCATATATTCTGTCATACTTCGTTTACACTACGGGAAGCTTTGCGGTTCTAGGGCATTTAATGCATCCCATGATACATAACCAGTTATATGTAGTGCATTTGACAGCATCACCGCGCTCGTCAGACAGAATGTATAGATCGTAGTCTGTTGTCACGGTTCTGCATGCAAGTAGCCACTTTACAGAAATATCGTACAATGCTTATGTTTTGTAAGTCAAAGTCCCTACCCATACGCTGCGGGTAGGCTGTGAGTTACAAACCCCGCAAAGCTGGCTGTCCAGAATCAAGAAGGTGCATGCATGAGTTGTCAAATTCCATCGCATGGCTACAGAGCTCGTAATTTAGAGTACATACAGTAAGGCTATCAAGTCTGCCGGCTAGTTTTTCGGGTTACTGCCCCATGTGTGTCATTTCCCGAAAAGAGCCGGGCTATCAGTTGGATTCTCGACTATATTGTGATAGGCACATAATGTCTTAATTTTCGAGCTGGCGGTTAAAATTTATATTATCATATAAATAGGAGCTCCCAACCTTTTAGGACCTACCGTCTGAGGATTTGTTATACAGTTTACCGTCTAGTTAGTGGCTGATGTTTCTCTGGGCAGACGATCAGAAAAAGTTGTGGAATTTTGTCTTGGTCTGTGTTCTGGAACAACTAGATAACTACAACATAAGTCAGTATTAGAAACCTTCTAAAATTAGTGATTTCATGCTAACATACACCGGATACTTTCTACAGGACTACATCCTCCCATCCCTTCCGGCTTCCAAATTTCCAAACCCCGCCCCCGCCTCCGCCCCCCTTCCCTCCTTCTAGTTTCTCACTCACCTGTACCCATAATCATCATGAGACTCTCGTTAGCCAACATTCTCATTGCCATCCTCTCATATAACTACACAGCACTAGCAATGCCACTTAAAGTAGGTGGGTAACATCGGTCCAAGCCAAATGATTCTGGGCTGTCTCAGTGCCTCTCTAATTCATGTCCCGTGAACAGAGCCATACTCCAAATGCGGACAATATTTCTGTCCTGGCATCGGGGGAACAGAGTGTTCAGCAACGTGGAGTCTCGGATACGCGCTCTGCAATCTCAAGTATCCGAACGTGGGTTCTGGGCGGAGTTTTTGCAGGAGATGCGTTGAGACGAATTGCGAGATGGAGGGATGTGATAAAATATGAGGGATGAATAATCTGAATGAAAGAAAAATAAAGAAAAAAGAAAAAGAAAAAGAAAAGAAAAGAAGAGAGGGAGGGAGAGAGAGAGATAAAATAAAAGGGTGAAAAAGTGTAAAAAGGTCAATTCCTAGAGTTGGTACAGATCCAAGATGTAGCAAGCAAGCAATTAAGAAGCCAAAGATACATCCTTTCTCGAAAACGAATAAAAACATCATACATATGCCCCGGCCCCTTTCCTAGCATTACTGATGTAAGCACCTGTCTGTTTAAAAATCTGGTGACTGGGTTTACCATCAATACAAGGAAGAACTGATCATGTTGATCTGGTCAGGAGACATATTCTTCAAATCATACCAAACCGGCAAGCGACTTTTCTGCGTCGAATATAGCCATTGTCGAGAGAACACCAGGTATGATGCATCGCAATTCCCTGGAAGTATTAACCAAGCCTTTCATCGTCCCTGTGTTTCTCCCGATTTGCCGAAATTTGCTGCCATATCGAGCGCCCTGAGGGGTTTAGCTAACGTTTGCTAGCAGATCACAGAGTACAGAGCGATTTTCTTTTCAGAAATTCTCACTTTGTACGCTCCATTGCACCGAGCACACATCCGATTTTATGTCGATGTATCCGCTTATCTCTTTGCGGATCAATTGCAGGAAAGGGTATCTTCAGCACGAGGACAAAGATGGGCCATTGTCAATATCCTTTACCGGAAACGGGCACCTAGTTGATAGCATGACTGCAACTTCGACTCCAACTGCATAGTTCATCAGACCCTCAGCGACCAGAAGAGCGGTACGCAACCAAATATCTCCTTCAGTGTTATGAAGTCGTGCTGCATGTGACATGCGGAACACCACGGTCTGTAAGTACGAGTGTATCTAGAACCTTAGTCTCCCCCTATATATTCGCATCTCCTGATTCTCGTCAAAATCCTTGCCCCATCTGCGCTGTCAGTCCCCCTCTTTTTTTTTCTTTTCTGCTTAGGTCTTTCCATTTTTGTTACCGTTCAGCCGGGAACCAGACCAGGTAATGAATAAGTGAATGAATTCATTCAAATGATCCATCACTCACTAATACATTGTATAATGCTCGATCTTCCATTGCTGAAGCCTGCACATCAAAATGGAGAGATATGGACCTTTCATTTCTTGTTCCGCCAACTTGGTGTTTGGTTTCATTGGACCTGTGGAATGCATGCAAGGACCATTGGCCCCTTCAAACGGTCAGATCCTCCCTGCTAGTCATGACTCTCTTCAAGATTATGAAGAAGTCGTTCAAACTGGCGCTGACCAAAGAGAGCTAAGGGTTGCTGTCTTTCTCACCTCTGCATTAAGTCTCCAGTTCGGTAACGTGACTGACCAGCCAATGATTTTCGCCACCCATGATTTTGTAAATTCCACCTGATATCTTCAATTTCAAACCTCAACACCATGGTCAATGAAGCTGCAATTCAGCTTGCAATTGAAGATTTAAGATCACAAGAATTTCCAAATTATAAGCAAACTGCTTTGAAATATAAAATCAGTCTGACACAGCACAACTGCTTGCAATACGAATTAAAATTGATTTACTTCACTCTGCTCTGAAAGATTGATTCATTTTGATTCTCAACTACCTCTTTATATTTGACTACTTGTTCATTTCATATTTTAATTCTCATTTTAGTATTTTCATTGTAGCTGTCTAATTAGATAGATGAACTAAAGCTTTTTGTTGTAGCGCATCTGCTTGTAAATGGATTAAGGTTAATCCGCCCCACTACACTCTGAAGGTTGATTCATTCTGATCCTCAACCACCTTTGCTCCCAAAGATTGATCCGTTCCAATCCCCAACCACATCTGCTCTGAAGGTTGATCCATTCCGATCCCCAACCACCTCTATATATTTGGCTGTTTGTTAATTTCACATTCTAATTCTCAGTTTAGTATTCTTATCGCAGCTGCTTAATTAGATAGATGAATTGAAGCTTTTATTTTATTATTGTTTTGAGTTTATATTGAGCTTTGGTAATATGTAGTTTTATTATAAAGTGAAATTTGAATTTCTTGAAATCATCAAATTCTTCAAAATTTCAAAGTTCATGAAGATAAATATACTTCAGTTTATACTTTTCAACTAGTTGAGAAATTATCATAAAGTGTTGAAGAAGATCATTATATATTATTGTATAAATATTTATTAAATTATTTATAATAATAAATATAATAATAACATTTATTGATATTTTCAATTTAAACTTTTAATAAATTATTAATCTTTTTAGCTCTTATTTATAATTGAGAATAAAAACTCTTTTTTTAATTGATAATATTTTAATTATATAAGTGGCTCTTTAATATAGCTTAATTTATATAAAATTATGAATGTTTATTGAGAATTAGTACTTAAGTGCATTGAACTATAAAATACTTAAATTGATTATATCAGATATAAATATTTCATATAATTTAATTCATTTTATTTTTTTTAAAAGTGTTGAGAAATTTTGAATAGTTAGTATTGATATAAAAGATTTAATTAAATCAAATGCAGTTGTTGTAGTTAAAGAAGTAAATAAAAATTTGATATATTTTTAAATAGGCCTGAATTGAATATATATATAAGTTCAATTATGAAAATTTTTAACAGTGTGAAGTTGAGCAAGATCATTATTCAATTGACAAAGATCAGCACAGTTCTCAGTGTAGATTGTGAACTTTGATGATCTATGCTTCAATTCAATAATTCAAAATTCAGATTTCTGCTCAGCATGTTAGCCAAAACTGCGCCGTTACATAAGAATAAGAGAGGTAACTAACCCCGGCATTCAACGACAGCTCTGGTAGATTTTATCCATAAGCGGAAGCGCTTTTGGGAGGTAATGAGCCTGAGTCGAACTCGTATTGTCTACTATCTTCACACTCCTCACCAGCGACTTGTGTCGCTCGTTGTGTATAAATTGGTGTATTAGACTTGGGACCTTTCTTTAACTCGTCTGAGATCGGTTGAGTGCCAAATTGTCAAGTTAACAAGGGAGCAAACCATAATATAAAACTTCTATAAAGTGGACAAGATAGTTAACTATCCCTCTAGTTGTATTCATGGATCGTCAATTAACTAACTACATGCTGGAATCTAGAATCGGATGAAAATCCATCCTCTGAAACTCTGAACAATGGGCTTCCCGATCTGCAAGGGTGTCGATCACCTTCATAACTGTATCACCAATGAATAAGTTTTCTCCAACCGCTAACATGAGACTCTCCTTAATCCAACGCAGCAAAACCCATTCCTGCCAAGCAAACCAGCAGCCGTGCCTGAGCTGTTCGAAAGTCAAGTATGACTCTGATATTTGCGATCTCTATTATCCCCGCGGCGGCGAGACATTGCTTGTTGTGCGGATTGCGTGACGAGTAACTGTACGGCTGTGGGGCGTAAGCAGTGGTTTGGGTTGGTGGGACGTTTTATGGATTGGATTCATTGCCGGAGAGGAGGGAGTGCGGGTTGGCATGCAGTGGAATGCGGTGGGATGAGGTGGGAAATTTGGAGTTGGGCATCTGGACATTTTGCGCCTGGGGTTGATTTTTGAAGTCGGCGGCAACTTATGGGTTGATGTCTACCATCACATCCCTAGGTACACTGGTGGTTATCTAGATAATAGTTACGATAGAGGACCAAGGCAAACTTTGCACCTTTGTCGAGAAACTCTCATATATTTCATTCTGCCCATAGATATGAAGATGTTTTGATATGGAGAACAAAAACAGCAAGAGTAAGTTGTGGTATATAAAAAAGGGACAGGAGAAGGCATAGATGCAAAGAAGAATAACATATGTAAGGGTAAAGGAAAATACAAATATAACAATTGAGTAGCAAGGATAGACGACAAACGATAATGGAGGGTATGAGCATAGTAGGGTAAACAGGCACAGAGGAAACCAGAAACATCCTCCTGATCGCTCGTAGAGGAGTGGGAGGGGGTGTTTAAACAAGCAAAGGGTGTGTACATTACAGAGCAGGCGACGTAAAGGGTACTTTCAGGACCCCCTTCCCCCCCCTACCCCGAAAAAAAAAATATGAACGGAGGTGAAAGACAAAAGGCGCAACAAATGACGAGTGAATGATGCATCAACATCAAATCCTTAAGCCCTGCTGCTCTGTGCTTGCTCACAAAACAAGGAAAAGAAGATATGGGATAGAAAGAAAAAGCAGGAAGCCGCAAGACCCCAATCCTCCGTCATAAATTCGTCCACCAAACCCGATTCCCATAACATGCAAAACAAAACATATAAAGGCAACGTAGACAATAGTTACGCCAGGAAAGAAAAACAACAGCGAGAAAACAAAAACACCTTCCGTTTCCTTTCTATGGAATACAAGGTTGATAACCAAAAAAAAGTTGAATAAATAAATAAACCAAGGACCTATGAAATAATCAATTAAGAAGAATATCTCTCCCGATCAAAAGGGATTTTGCGTGTGCTTCATTCTCCGATTATAATGAGCAGGAGCCAAATTAGAATTTCCATTATTCCCACTGCTTTTCACCGGGCCCCCATACGACTTCTCCCAGACCCACCCGCCGTGATTCCCGCAGCAGTTTGATGCAGTGAGCTTAAAGGGGACGTCCGCGGCCGCGCAGCAGCTGCCGACGAGGAACCGAAAAGTTCCTGATTCGCGGTTGGCAGTGGCGGAGAAGGCTCGCCTCTAGATGGTGGCCCAAAGAGGCCAAGTCGCGCTGGGGCCGGTGCGGGCGAATGCGCATCCTTGCTGGTATTATTGTTGGTATGATTATTAGCAGTAGTAATATCCCTGGTAATAGAGTTCGGCGGCAGAGGTCCCTCTGTTGATGATGGATGATGGATGGGCGATCGTTGGCCGGAGATATTTCGCGAATGCGGTTGACATGGGTTACTTGATTTCCGCACGTCTAATGGGGATGAGGTTAGTGATCGTAATCCCTGGTTTTGCTCCGCGTCATCGGCTTCGGGAGGCCGGCCGAAGGGGGATTCGTTGGCCGCGAAGTATCTCCTGTTATTTTGTGGTCGATTTCGATCTTGCTCAGGGAACTGTGGCGTGTTTGCGGCTGATGAATTGGGTGCGGAGGGGTGGTCTGGGATTGTCGAAGCGGATCCGTTGGGCATGTTGAGATCTACAATCCGCTGCTGAGCAGTAGGGGTCGTGTATGGATTCTCTGCCCTATGTTGCTCGTTTAGCCTAGCCCGCCGGAGCTGCTGAAGATATTGCTCATGACTGGAATGTTGTGGGTTTGCCCAGGGTGTCTGTTCCAGGAATTCCGCCGCTGCGCCTGGCCGTGGTGGCTGTGCTGATGGCGTAGCCGTGAATGTGCTTCGCGGGCGGGAGGGACGGGGAAAACTGCGAGCATTTATAGAACGAGTATCAATCTGTGCAGAGAAATTTTCAGCATGTCTGAAAACACTTGTCTCATATCAAATATATTATTTAGAAACATACACCCATCTTTGCCAAGTCTTCATCAGCTTCATTCTGCCGTGCGGGCTGGATTATCGGGGCAGCTGGGAACCCAACATATTTGGCCACACCCGAGAGAATAGACACCTCTTTGTTATACGCAGCTTGTTGGGAGATTTGTTGCGAACGGCGAATGGGGAAGGGAATAGAGAAATCGGGGCTAGTCCCAGCAGTTTGGAATCTGTCTTGCTGAATGCGGTAGTGGAGACCCGAAGCCTCCTCAAGGTATTTTTCACGGACGTCCCGGGCTCGTTGGAAATAGGAGCTGTTTGTTTGGCAGCGCTCCGCCTGGCTTTTGTTGAATAGTGAAGACAATTTATATTTGAAAAGTGTTCTCTCGTATTTGATTTTATCATCTCGATAATTTTCGATGATACTGAGCTGGCGTAGGTATTCGGGGTGAGTGATGTTTTCTTCACTGAGTTGCGATAACTCGTTATTGAGGTTCGCTATTCTCTCGTCGTATATTCTGGAAGGAATTACACGCAAAGGCATTAGAATTCATGAATACAAGTCAAGGGCGCATTAACACCTTACCTATCACGCAACGTTGCGAATTGTCGTTCAAGGGAATATAGCAAGTCCATGGCAACGGTTTTCTTCATAACTATAGTCACTGTGAGTGGCATGATCCATTGAGAGCGAGGTAAGGATCGGGCGCAAGATACGGGAAAGCAGAAGACTTACTCTCTTCTTCTGCCTTGGAAACGACCTCCGTGTCCTCTGCCTCCTCTACCGCTTCAGCTTGTTCTTCCTCTTCTGCAGGCTGTTCATCAGCCAAGCCATTGGTATCTTGTTCAGCACCTCCAGATGGAGGAACGCTATCCGTTTCCCCTTCTTCCTGAAGCTGTCTGATATTTTTACCCTTTCGTTTGCCTTTCTTCCCCCGTTTACCTCTAGAAACCGCAACTCGCGCATCGACGCTCTGGGCTTCATCTGCGGCGAGGGTCTCATCGGGGGAAGTTTCGCTGTCTTTCTGTAGGGTTTCACCACCCTCGAGAGTCGAAGACAAGTCTGGTCCGCTCACAATAACGGAGCCACGACGCTTGCGTAGAGGCTCTTCCTCGCTTTGCTCAGCACCGATATCATCATCCAAAGCACGTTTCCGTTTTTTGCTAATTGCTTCTAGTGAAGTGCTCAGCAATTCGGATCCAGTGGTAACGACATCGACTGGAGTTGGTATGCCGTTGCTGCCAACTTTTCGTCGTGGCTTGCTAGGAGAGTTTTCAGTTTCGTCACCTTCATCATCAGAAAGATCGTCATATGTCGTTGATTGTGCTAGTTTGCTGGGGCTAGCTTCGAAGATGCCTGCGTTCAATTCAATGTTGGTGCGGTTTTGGGGGCGGTTTGGGGACTCTTCGATGCGCTCTGTTTCGGCTTCTGAGTCGATTTCGCTAGCCACTTTCTCAAGCTTGGGGGATTCACTACCCAAATGGTCGTGATCTAAGGCGTCATCCAGTTCACTCAGGCTACTAGACCTGGCATCGTCGACCACGGAATCGTGGATGTCGCGACCATTAACACCGCCGTTGGAGATGGACGCCAGTGGTGATTGGGGAGCAGCCGATTCCGTCGGCTCTGTCGACTCCATCTAGGACTTCTGGAAATATAATAATGCACGTCGATACAACGTAAGGAAGGAGGAGGGAAGAGCGAATCTAGGGAGGTCGGATTGGGGCTTTCGATAGACGTTTATGGTGGGAAGTTCGATTGGAAGGATTTTACCGAAAGCTGTGAAAAAGAGCGCCCCAGAGAAGAAGGTTAGCAATTATTTCACAGTTATACGACTATCATATGAAGATTTACCACTGCCGGAAGACGGTGGCCATTGTAGACGGAGTTCGATGGTTTGTGGAGTGCTGTTTGCGATGTGAAAGGGTTTTTTTTTTTTTTTTTTTTTTTTTTTTTTTATAAATAATAAAAAAAAATGAAAAAAAGAAACCCTGGCAAAAAAACCTCAATACTGAAAACGAGGAGCAGAAGAGCAGAAAGGAGAAGTGAGAACTGCTGCCACCGAATATCTCCAGGCCAATCTTTGAATGTTCCAGCAAGCTCCGGTTACCTTTACCATCTCCTCCACGCTTTGAATGTAGGTGATATTTCAACAGAAAGTGGTTGAACGTACCAGGTGGGGGATGCGCTGGAAGCTCAGCAATGGTGGAGTGGCTTGCGGGCGACTATCGTAGCAAGACTCGAAGGCTGGAGAGGCACAACAAATCGCACTTGAGCAGGAAAGTGTAGTATATGATACTCAACGACGTTTTGACGAGTAGATGAGAAGGGGAGAGAATGAGGGGAAGGGTGAGAGACCTATTCGCAAAGGCCTGGAAGGAGAAACGGTGCGTGAGTTTGCGTGAGTTGGGACGGGCAAGAAAGTGGAGCAGAGTGAAAGCGCGGAGGCAGGTGAAGCAGTAAATACCACCAGCCCACAGCTAAAGTGGGGGGGATGGCATGAGGAGGGGCTGAGTGTATCTCAAGGGTGAATTCGATGGCGGGAGGTTGAGAAGTTGGAGAAGTTGAGAGAGCGAGAGACGAGAGACCGATGCAGACAGTGAGGGAAAGCATTGGCCGTGTATGGGAGCCGTATGGGAGCCGTATGATGATGATTTGTTTCTTGCCGGGTTACCGTATTTTACGCCCGGCGTTCCTACGGAGTGGTGTCTTGGCCGCGGTTCTGCCATCTGGAATGTGGAGGGACCTGTATTGTCACGCCCGTGGATGCCGTGCGTACTAGAAATTACAAAACTTACAATACACCGCAAAACAAATTTCTTCAAGTGACCTTTTGCAAGTCATCTGGGCGTCATGCAAACAGGCCAAACATACCACTTTGGTTGTCAGGCTGGCTAGGGGCTTGCTTGATATTCCTTCCTCCCCCGCCAATCAGAGCGGCTGCTTGACGTACCGCCTTTGCCAAGCCCAGATCCGGGGCCGAAGCATGACTAATGCGAAATTTTGCGCTTGAAGAGCTTAATTGACCCCCTTATGTACCTATCGTTAGGTACCTCTACATATGCAAATGTATACGCTGGACGATGCATTGACTGATATATCATTGCTTGGTCTCTGTATGGCCAATCTCTCACAGGAATTCCGTTGTAATGGCGTTGTAACTCTGCACTTTCCCCGATCCGGGGATTTTCTACCGTGCAGTGGGCATCCTTCTCAATCTTCGGTTGCAAGACCCTGGAGAATATTCCTGGGTATCAGGAGTAGACCCATGTCTGCTGGAAACAATAGCTATCTGTAGGTTTTTTTTTTTTTTTTTTTTTGATCTGCATGTTATTTTTATGTTGCTTGTCGGAGCTCCACAGCGTTCACGGTAATAGAACCTAAAATTACCTGGGTAGGTGTTTTACCTCCCTTTCTCCAGTTGGACAAAACGGCAAGTTTGATCGATGGCAAACGACTAGTTACATATGGTGGAAAACAGGTCACGGGACTGAAGTGTTGGAGAATACTGTTGAACAGAGCACAAGATCGTGACATCTTGGATATTATTAGGCTATGCGATACGCGCTATTCATTCTCCTGTATGTCCGTGCCCTCCACCTTCCTCAGTTTCCTGATCTTGCGCTGCATATATCCCTTCTTCCCCCGCTTCGTCGACGCACCATTCTCTACATACAAGTGAAGCTCAACCCCCCCCTGGGGATTGCCATATATATTCTTCAGTTATCATTTATATTTATCCTTAAAGACCTTACACCCAGTTTCGTCAACCGAGCATCTTTTCATTTTCCGTATATAGAAGATGCTAGTTTATGAGGCCTAAACTGATTTGATGCCTGGCACTCTCAATCCTTACGGTTTCAGCTAATAGTACACTAATTCCATAGTTAGCTTATATTGCCATTCCAAAGGGAAACGAAACCCCTTCAAGCAACTACCATGCATCCGACAGCTCCCCTCTGCAATACACCATATTGAACTTCGAGCAGCCAAATGTATGCAGTCCAGCTGAGTCTTCCCAGTAAAGCCGCGGGGCCATTTCTATAGTATATCACATGACCTTCCACTTCGGCTTAGTCAACTTGAGATCAACGCCAAGAAATTTTTCAGAAAAGTTCCATATTCCACTTCAAGCTTTGGCCGCATAGTCAGCGGTTCGCATTCATAACGCATTCCTCTTCCTCCCGTAAAAAGCAATGGGGAAGAAACAGAAGTCAAAGTCCAAAAGTGCTGCTGGGGTAGCAGGGGAAAGTGTGACGAGCACATTCCTCTCCAATAGATCAAAAGCTCCAACACTCCCATTCTTAAACGGTGAGAATAATGTGACAGCCATTGATCCCATGCTCGTTTCGCTGTTCGAGAAAAGCGTGAGTGATCTGATGCATCTTCTTTCTTTACTTTTAATGTTTCTGCAGCTATGAAATGGTTGATTTCGGCCATTGAGTCCGTTTCTCTGCTTGTATAGAATGGATTGCAGCTGATATCTCTAACAAATTCATTTACGTGTAGGCTGGACCTGTGACAGCTCCGCAGTACGCTAGCGCTAATCTGCGTGCGGCAACTGTAGAAGACACCTGGGGAAGTGGGAAGAAGGGCGGAAAAGAGCCTGACTTCGAGCAGGATGCTGCAGATGCAACTTCATCCGATGAGGAGGACCAAACGGCAGGGAGATTCTCACTGGAGAGCAGTGATGAGGGGATGGAGGATGTCAATAATGCGAAATTGGTTCAAGAAAATGGTCGGAAACGAAAACGTGCTGGTGCGGATGATTTAGAGGGAGCATATATGCAACGCATTGTGAAGGAGGAAGCCAAGGAAGAAGAGAAAAGACGGATTGAGAAAGCGAAACGGCGAAAAGTTGAGAACGCGGTTGAGAATGATAGCGAGCCGCTAGCCTCTGAAAGCGACGAGGAAGGGAATTCTGAGTCGGAATCAGACTGCATAAGCAGCCCTCCCCCTGTCCACGAATCCCTCACGGACACCGTCGACTCGGCCGTCCTTGACAAATCCGCCCGCACTGTCTTTCTCTCCAACGTCTCCACCGAAGCCATCAAATCCAAAACCGCAAAAAAGGCCCTCCTCAAACACCTCTCCTCCTTCTTCCCTTCCCTCCCCGACTCGACCACCCCTCACAAAATCGAATCAATCCGCTTTCGCTCCACCGCCTTCTCCACCAACGCAATGCCCAAACGTGCCGCCTATGCCAAGCGCGAGCTCATGGATTCCACCACCCGCAGCACGAATGCATACGTAGTCTACACCACCACTGTAGCTGCTCGACGAGCCCCTAAGGCCCTCAACGGCAGTTTCGTCCTGGACAGACATCTGCGCGTAGACAGCGTCTCCCACCCGTCCCCCATAGATTACAAACGGTGCATCTTTGTCGGAAACCTCGGCTTCGTCGACGAGGAGACTCCCACGGAAGAAAAGGCTGTGCAACAGACGAAGAAAAAGAACACACCACCTGCAGACGTCGAGGAGGGCCTCTGGCGCACCTTCAACGAGCATACGCACTCAGCTATTGCGAAATTATCTAAATCACTTGCTAAATCTAAGGGTTCTGATGCTTCTAATATTAATAATCCGGCCATCGGTCCTGTGGAATTCGTCCGCGTCATCCGTGACCCGGCCACGCGGATTGGGAAGGGCATCGCGTACGTCCAATTCCACGATGAGAATGCCGTGGAGACTGCGTTGTTGTTGGACGGGCAGAAATTCCCGCCAATGCTCCCACGGAAGTTGCGCGTCACTCGTGCGAAGAGGGTTGTGAAGAAAGCGGGTGGTAGTTCAGAGAATATGAATAACAATGGCAAGAATGCTAAGAATAGTAAGAATGCTATTAAGACTGCTTTGGGGCCGCGGCGGGGTGGAGATAAGCAGGCTAGTTCCCAAGAGCGCGCGACGGGATTGCTGGGGAAGGGTGAGGCGTGGAAGGTGCAGAACTCACGAACGTCGGATGAGAGGGATGGGAAAGGTGAAGGGTATGGATCGAATTCGTTTATTTTTGAGGGATATCGAGCCACGGCGGATAAGCCTGCGTATAAGGTTAAGACGAAGAGTCGTGGGGTGAAGAGTCGCGGTGGGAAGCCGAAGACGAGGAGTACGAGGCGGGCGGCGGCGTTTAGGGCTGGAGGTGGGAAGAGGAAGGGGGATGGACAGTGGAGGAGGAAGTGAGAGGGGTGTTGATAGATTTGATAGATCAGGTAACCCTGGACAAGATGTGATACCCACGTATCGTGCATGACGGTAGATGGGTATGTTAGGACCCTTTATGATTTGTGTTTTAGTTCACATTGGAATATACGTGCACGGATTAATTGATGCCGCTGATTAAAAACATGTATTTAAAAGAGAATACATATTCCGATATGAGATGGTGAATCGTATTACTTGTCTGATATTTGTGTTAGGGAATCAAAGCTGTGGAGAATTAACCGGATATTCAAAATAATCTTTATATGGACGGAGATATATGCTCAACCACGGGAGGATCCCCCAACTCTTCAGCAGCAGCGTGGTAGTCTATTCAACGAAATAAACCTGCTCTGGCCATTGAATTTGTCTTCTGGGACTGTGGAACGACGAACAAAGAGATCAGAGCCAGAAAACGTACATCCCAGATCGGACGAGCAGCGGTTGTACAATATTCATGCACCGACCATCTATCAAAATCCAGCACTTTTAAATCCGCTGAAAGCTTACAGTGATTTCCTGTCAACATCCCAATGAAGGATACTTGGCTACTGACAGCCCAACCAGCGAAAGAACCTTATCCCCCTCAACCCTTTCATAGTTTTGCTTTGCAGGGATATCAACCACAAATTATAAAATCCCGAAGTGGAATGTGATCAATAGGGACAACCACTTTGTGATACTGGCATGGAAAATTAAGTCTCCCCCGACAGGCATCCCCTTCACGGCACCAAGAAAGACTCCGCAGAGAATTAAACGAGCGCAGGACTGCAAACACTCCCCGCCAGAAGTGAGGCGATACTTCATACACTCCCTTTCCCCTTCAGTCGAGTGCAGGACGATGAATTTCCCATCCGAAAGTTACCCTACATTCTTAGCCCAGGCTATATTCTTATATACACCTATACATGTTGGCGGAGTAGTCCTAGTGCTGAAAAGTTTATAGAACGGCCGCGATCCTCTGCAACGTTCCTCACTATTATCTGTTGCGCGAGGTAGTGAAAGGAGAGCAAGCTTGACGAAGTCGCTTCACGTTCCGGGATTAATCCGGTGGATTTCAGGAGGAGTCGAGTTTGTACTTCGTTCTGCTTGAGGTCGTCACAGCGAAACCAGAGGGTCATTCACATAACCTGCAGGTAAGACAACTACTGTCAAATATGCGGCCGAAAAGCTAAATAACAAAGCTTGTCCCTGTTCCCAGCGGTTAGCTACTAGATGAAAAAGGTACCAAGTTGAGCAATGATCTAACAAAATAGGGTATGTCGACAATTACGTCGGGTATTGCCTCTTCCATGAGACACGACAGGGCAGGACATGATATTTGTTGCGTTGGTTATCTGTCTGGTTCAGCGGTCGGTCGGCCAACTGTATGCTTTAATGGAGTTGGAAATACTATCGTGTAATTTGTTTGCAAATGCAGCCCCTGAGCTATTCGGTTTTACTTGCAATGAGCTATGGGCAATTAACACGATTCATGCCACGTTTCTTTTCTTCATGTCTTCACCTGCCTTAAACTTGGAAAGTATTTCCTACTTTGGGGGAATGAAATTGCTTCTTATAACGATTTTCCTGAGCATCCTTCAGAAAGTCTCCCACCAAACTCCAGGGCTGATGATGAGTGAAAATCGTGTTATCTCTCCAGGGCTCTGACTTAGCTGCAGTGCGGACTCTTCTTCTCATAACATGCAAATTGAGAATCACTTGTTACCTGCACTTGTTTCTGAATGCTTCTAAGACAGTTGTGTTATCCTGTTCTTCTATCAACTGCTTTAATCATGCTAAACACTGTTTGTATATCCTAGCAAGACAATGACTTCTAAGGATGACCTCTTAACTGACTCTCTAAAGAGACAAAGCAACGATATCTCAAATCTTTTCATGTACTTCACCTATATGGTCTATTGGATTTAAAAATAGCCAAGATTTCAGGCGACAACGAGCAACGTGGTACCAAGACTGCCCCCAAACACCGCTGGTGTTGGGTGTACGGGATTCCAGGCTATGGGAAGACATTTCTCTTGGGCGAGCTAAAACAGACATTTGGGCAAGCAAATTTCGCGTTTTAAGAAAGGTCCGAAGCGATAGATTTGTTGTGCCGGGAGGCTTCGAGGCATTCATGGCGCTGGAGGGGAAATGGAAGGCAGACTGGCGCCAGCGTGCCATCGACAAGGTTCAAAAGGGACTGTATCGAGAGCGGCAGAACTGCTATAGCCACCGGGCGTTACGTGCTCTGGAGTGAAGGGGAAACTGACGGATATCAGATGGTGACCCAGATTGACCTCATTAGGTACACCCATATCCTCTATATGGATACCCTAGCGATGTCGTTGAACGTCGTCTGAACGACCGAGGAGGAAATCAAGCAACCGCATTGGCAGCTCATGTCGACAAATGTTTGCAGGCTGACAAGACAGAGCTGCGAGAACTCTGTCGTTCTAATCACATATTGTTTCTGCTCTTGTCTCCTCATCTAACCTCTGTGGAGAAAATAGTGTTGCTCATCCGTGAACTCCACCACATGCTGGGAACACAACCTGCACTAAACGGAAACAAGTTTAGATGAAATTCACACCGTTTACGGCGGTAAACCAAGCAATATAGTTTGGGTTCTGGATGCCGATTGGACGTTGGCAGCCCAGGATAGTTGTAACATAGTTTGGAAAGAGTTTCCTGGTTCTCCAGTTCAAGCTAGCTTGGAGGAGCTGTTTAGTGGTCCATTGGGCTGCTCGCTCACTGCCTTCAGACAGGCTACTCTGATATATGAGGAGGCCGACGAGGAACAGTTTTACGCGATTGCAAGAAGGCAGCGTCGGCCGTGACTGTGCATCCGGAGTTTGTGACCTTACTGCAGCTGTTAACAGACCACGAGCATTTTCATCGCAGTGGTTCTGACGTGTGGATTACGTCGTGCTTGGGAGAAGATACTGGAGCAGGAAGGGCTTTTAAGACCGTGCAAGTCATTTGTGGAGGCCTCATCGCAGACGGCTTCGTTGTGACATCTGCAGCTAAGGGAGCGTTGGTGATTGGTTTAAGGGAAGTTCAGTGTATGTACGTAAGGGCGTTTGGAAGTAGCCCGGTAGACTTGGAGATGTTGAGAACGGCAGACCAAGCCATTGTTGTCGTTGGCAAGGAGCGTGATAAGAGTAAGGCGATGGACAAGGCTTCGAAACATGAAATCTAAATACGTTAACTACAGAAACAACGTTAAGCCACACCTGGCTCTGCTACACAGCCACGCAACACTAACAAGAGGGTTGTCGGAACAAGCATTCATCAATTTTCGTCTTTTGTCGTTATACGTTAACAGCCTAACCTGGAAGTCCGCTGCGCAACAAATGAGCCAACAACCAAAATTCTGATAACGAAAATGCGTGATGTTAGTGTTTCTGGTCGGAGTTAAGAAAGTCCATTAACGTACCGGATGCTATTTGGCAACGTAACACTTGCTCGATATAATTGGAGTCGCAGAGTAGATATCCCATCCAACAAGTCTGGGCCAACCCCGCAATTGGATGCCAGCTCCTACTCAAGGAGCAGACACTGATTATACCGCTGAAGCAGGATGCAGAAGCCTCTGGCGCTCGGTATTAGGAAAGTTCTCCCACTCGCTCCTTTTGTTCATGCCAACACACCTAGGAATGTCAAGATCCTCAGGAGCATTCACAGAGAAAAGTCACAGTGAGCTTGGTAGATTTTTTTAACAGTGGAAAGCCAGTGTTGCAGTTCATACGGCGTATTCGCGCCCTCCATGGCACCATTCGCATCGTGGTAGTTGCTGGAGTTGTCCAGGCGCCGTTCGATTCTGGATCTCATTTTCAAGAATGAATTATATCAGTGCGAAAGGCTTGACATTGTTGCCCTTCCTCTGTCATACAATGATTTTCACTGGAAATGGCACCTCGGATACGTGCCATCGATATTTTTTTTTTTTTTTTTAAAAAAAAAAGACGGACTAGCCCTAATCATCATTTGTTAAGCGATATAAATAAGAATAAAAAGATTTAAATTTGTTGGTCTTGTTTAAGAATCTTTTGCTCCAACCTCCCCATTACTCCACGGCTATTGCTATAATCAAGTATTATATCAAATTCTGTTTCTTGACGGTGTGTCGTTCCGTTGTAGTGGAAGGGCATACGGGCCTTGGTCGTTGTATCGGAGTCGCCTCCAAAGAACCCAACAACAGGAAAAGACAGGATAAGGCGCTGACTGAAGTAAAAGCGATAACATATCACAAAAGAAGGCGACCTTGGAAAGAAAGAACGAAGAAGAAGAAGAAGAAGAAGAAGAAAAAAGAAAGGTAAAAAAACGAAATGAGGGTTCCAAATGTGTCAATGAACACCAAAGGTCTGCGGCAGTCCCACCAACTATAAATTGCAGCGATCAAGAATTCCTTTGACAACAGCACCGGCAGGCTGCCCATCAGCAAAAACTGACTGAGTTTCGAGGACTCTATCTACATGAGGGTCGGTAAAGGAGCATTGGAGCAAGCCGTCATGCTGACTGGTCCATTGTATGGCATGTACCGTCCAAAGGGTCAACAAGAGGACACATGTGAAGACAATGGATGAAATACCGAGATGATTTGTTTTGTGGAAATAGTAAACTTGGATCCATGGATGAGCATGGGGACCGGCAGGGTTCAAAATCTTGTAAACTTTTTTTTTTAAAGCAAAACATGTGCCAATTGTGAGAGTCCCACTGTCTCATCAGAAAACTTGGAAATCTATAGGAAAAGTGATGTAAATAGAGAACATTAGATGAAGATGACTATGCATATATGTAAATAGTACTGATGACATTATACACATATGAAAACAGGGAGAAATTGATCTCATAGAATGAAAATTTCAACAACTGCTGAACTAACAAAAAAAAGTTAAGATGGACGAGGATATGGAGATCATGGAAAGGAAGGGTAAAAAAAGTTTAAAATTAATTAATGAAAGGGTAGAGGTGCGAGGCAGGGTTACAAAGTAATAATACCACTAGACTTTCCAACTATCCCACCAAACGAAAAAGCATCTATTATCATTATATGCCTACGAACATTCAAACGTTGTTTTGGAGGGTAATATAATACATATCTTTCCGGGGAACATGGATAGTCACTTGTATCCCGCTCATTGTCTTCCCAGCTTCCCGCCCGCCATTTCCAAACATTCCCTTACCCAAACCGTCGTCCCTAGGTCGTCAGAAAATTCATCCTCTCTCCAAGAGATCCCGCTGTGGTACAAATACGTACGGAAATACGGGTGGTTGTAGTGATTAGTTCGTGGACGGCGGATGTTGGTGAGAACAAGCAAGAAAACAACAGAAGAGGATTTTAAATAGAAAAAAGATAAAAAGATAAAAAGAAAAGGAAAGGGTTATTGTAGATATACAAGTGAATGAAATATATTGGGGAGGTCCTTTTATCGCCTATATCTAACAAGGTATCTTGGGAGGGGTAATTGGGGGGAGGAAGTAGAAATACTAATTAACATAGAAAGACAGAGGGTAAAATATTTACCTATACCCGCATCAATGTGCCACATGAGTAGGGAACTGATCAATGGGTCAAGAAGAGAGGAAATAAGCCATTTTTAATACATTTTCCTAAAAGACATAAAGAAACAAACACGAGATTAAAATATAAAATAGAAAAAAAAAAAAAAAAAAAAAAAAAAAAAAAACTTTTGGAAGAAAATGGTTTTACAAGAAAGCTATCAGTCCCAAAACAGCCAACAGCAAACTTCCCGGCAGCATAAGGGACTTAGCTCCATTGGGGTTTGGTGTATTGGTAGCTCTGATGGGAGTCAGGGAAGCAGAAGAGCTACTAGAAGTAGTCGATGAAGTGGTGGTTGTTGTCGAGGAGGCGGAACTCGTTGACAAGGTGGATGAGCTGGTGATGGTCTCGGTTGATGTGCTGGAGGATACGCTGGTGTCGGTGCTGGTGCTGGTGTCGGTGCTGGTGCTGGTGTCGGTGCTGGAAACCTGGGATGAGGAATCGGTGGTGGAGCTGGGGAGCTCTGAGCTTGATGACATTGGACCATTCACTGGGAACCTAGGGGAGAAATTGCTGTTTTGAGGGGTGCCGGAGGGGAAGATTCGAAAGAAGAAGTTGTTGCCCGGGTCGACCGTGGGGAAGGTGAATATGAAGTTGCCAGAGTTGGGGATGCCGGCTGGAGGGAGTGTGGTGTTAGATGGGTTATAAACATGGATAGTGGGTAGGTTTAACAGAGAGATTTAAAAGATAGGGTAACAGTCCATTGGTCGTGGTTTGCAGCCATTTTCGAGTGTTTTGCGTAAGAGAATGAATGGGAAACTCTGGGAAAATGCGAAATATACGCGAAAAATGCAATTGAAAAATGGAAGGGCCGTAGAGGATATAATGACTTACTTCCAAGTGGAATACCATCCTGCGGATTGGTAGCATCTCCACTCTGCAGGAAGAGGCTGACCGGGCCGGTGGTGGTTGGATTCCAGGTGACGGTGACCTTATCTCCGGACATGAAACTATAGCCACCGGGGGGGACATCTAAAGGATTGTCCTGAGCCACGGCAAGAGCAGCAAAGATGCCAATTGAGAGGTAGATGATTGAGCGCATGGTGAATGGTGTATATTATTGGGATCTCAAGAGAGGATGGATATTTGCGGGATAGTAGTTCCGGGCTGGGCTGAATGAAGGGCAGGAAATTTTTAATCTTATTTCTATGCTAGTTTGTAGAGTTATTAGCTCTGTGAAAGGGCCTTGCTAACGAACGTAAGAATGTAGGGAAAAGGGCGAGAAGAGAAGAAAGGAAAGTGAGGGAGGGTGGCAGGATGGAGCGAGGGAAGGAAGAATAAAAGGAGAAGAAGACCAGAGGATGAAGAAGAGATAAGGGAAAAAGGCTCTTCTCAAAAGCGAATAAGCCACCCTTCATTCCATAGACGCGATGAACAACCAATATCAAGGTCGGGTTTGGAGTCCTCTCACAAGCCCACAAGCCCACAAGCCCACAAAACCCACAAATATGGCACAAGAAGCAGAGCCACCTCCTGGCTACAAATAGCGTTGCCGGCACTTTAAAACGGCGCCCGCCACCATTGTTCATGCTTGCGACGATGGCTGCGCCACATCCACCATTCGCCACGTCAGATCCGGGCAAAAGGACGGCTCGCTGCGTTAAACTGAAAAGAACAATGCTTTTATTTGGGCCCACCTGCGCAATAAAACGAAATCCACTGGTACATGCAAAGGGGTCTCCCAAGGGTTTGCAAGTCGGCGTGCATTATTACAAACTTAGTTCAACCACGCGATGTGATTGGCAGGCTGTCAGTATCGTCGTATCAAATAGCTGCATGTAACCGTACGAATTTACTAGCCCAACATGAAGTATTAAGGTGAGCGCAACTTAAATCATGTTCAATTAACAAGAAAGAAGAAGAAGAAAAAAAAAAAAAAAAAAAAGAAAAAGAAAAAGAAAAATAAAAAAGAAAAAGAAAAAGAAAAAAAAGAAAAGGAGGATGAAAAGGAAACAATCATGAAATTTAAATCCATGTAGGCCCAGTGATCGGAGTTGATTGAGGATTTACAGGTGATCATGATTTAAAAGTGAGGCAGGTCTCCATTGCTTTAAAACCATGAATCAACTGTCACCTCATTTTAAATAAACACCAACTAGCCACATACTCTGCTGCTCTGCACATAACTACATCACACATGTTACTATATACATCTTTGTCCAATCTCACCACTCTCAACACGAGGGCTAGGAGGTAGGTTAGGGTTTAGAATTAGAATTAGCAAAGGACAATCACTGCTGCAAAGAGCAGAATGAGAGATGTGCATGAAATATGTATTAGATATGACTAGTTGTATATAGCATTTTGATGGAAGTCATGATTGCATAAATCATGTTGAAGATTTAAATTCAACATTCAACTTGTGTTAAACCCCACATTTAACTGCACAATCAGAACTGATTGTAGTTTTAAAATGGTGGGCTCAACTTACAAATCAAGTTAAATTTTAAACTGTAACTTAGAATGTGTTTCAACTTTAATTAAACTTTATATTTTCCAGATCAAAATCTTTTAAATTATAAGTCACTCTCATAATAAATTACATAGTCAAGATCTAAACTATATATATTTATATTAATATGAAAGACACGTGATTAAAGAAGTTGCAGTGACTTATCATGACATACTTAATTCAAATTTTTTAAATTTACATTAAAAATAAATTAAAACTATCAAATATTAATTTTTAAATATAGAAAATATATTAATAAAAATAAAACTTTAAAATTTAAAATAAAACTCTTAAATATTTATCAATTTTATGTATTTTTTTTAATAAATATAAATATTATAATTTATTTATTTTATTTAAATTATATATAATTTAATAATATTTTATATAATTTATTAGTTTATATAATTATAATTTTTAATATAAAATATTAAATTTTTATAATTTATTTTATTTTATATAAATTTTATTTAAAAAATAATTTAATTTTAATATATTTTAAAATAAATTAAATATAAATTATAATTTTAAAAACTTTTTATATTAATTAATAAATTTATTATTAAAAATTTAATATTTTTTAAAATAATTAATAATAATAAAAAATTTAAAATATAAAATTAATTTAAAGTATTATTTAATAATTTTAATAAATAATTTTATTTTATAAAAAATTGTTGAAGTCTAGATTATATATTACAGACTAGTACACTGTATAGTAGTATATAATATTTCTAAGATAAATTATCAATACAATTACTTCAAACATCTAATAAATTATAGTTTAAATAGTTTATTTTTCTTTTTGAAGAGTTTTTTATATACTACTTTTTCTTCTTCTTTTATCTGAGGTATAAAGTGTATTATGTGAACTGCATTATTAAATTGTATCAAGAACTTGACAAAAAATAACTGTTTTAAAAGCTTTGATTATGAGCAAAAAATTGAATCAAAAGAAGAAAATAAATAAATATTTTCAAGAATATAAGCTACAGAATCATGAAATATCTTTACAAGCAATAATATGAATATGTTACAGCGCAGCTACTTGTATATGAATTAAGATTGATCTGCTCTGCTACATTTTAAAGGTTGATCCGTTTTGATCTCAACTATATTCAGTTGCTCATGTTGATCTGATTTAATTTTCAACCACTATTATATATTCAGCTACTCGTTCATTCTTTATTTTAATTCTCAATTTAGTATTCTCATCATAGTTGCCTAGTTAGATAAATAAATTGAAGCTATTACTTTATTATTATTCTGACTTTAGTTGAGTCATGATAAAATAAAGATAAATACAATACATTTACCTCTGAATTTAGAGAAAAAACTGATTAAAGAGATGAAATAGATACAAATAAAAGTAATATAAATATGATGTGAATAATGATGAAATATATAGAAAGACAGAACAGACAAATAGAAATACTTATATAAAAATTAGAAGAAAACTTAAGTTCTTTGTCAAATACTACTAAGAATTCTATCAAAAATAAAGTTGATAAATTTTGCAAAGATATTAAAATCAACTTGAAATATATATATATATAGTTATTCTCATTGAAGTCAATTATTTAAAATGAAAAAGTTCTATTTTTGCAGATGCTTATTTGATTTAGATAAAAGATATTATTAATATATAATAAATAGCATTTTCTATTATAATTTCTCTGAAAATTGAGCTTTGAAATAAGAAATAATAAACTTTTTAATACAAGAATCTTTTAATCTTTAAATACAACTGTATATAATTCTTTGAGATTATTAAATAAAAATTTTTATCTTGTAGTAACTATATAAAAGAGTTTTACTCAATGTTATACTATACTTCAAGTATAAGAATGTCTTTAAATTATTGAAAAGTTAAGAAATTTATAATCTAAAAATAATAACTTTCACATCTATCTTGTAACTTTTTAAGTTATATAAAGGTAAAACTTATATCTTAAGATAAAAATTTAATTAAAAGTATTTATCATAATTTATTTATATTAGAACTGAGAAATTAATAATAAAAATTTATTAAAATAAAGCTGAATAATTTCTATATTATCAAGCAGAGCTTTATTTAAAATCTGAATTTTGATAAATTGATAAATCAATTGATTACTCATATCATTATCATTATAATTCATTTTAACTTATTTACTGTAAATATTATTATTAAATGATTTGATAAATATCAATACCACTACTATGAGAATATAGAGCATATTATCAAATATTGCTGATTTAAAAACTTAAATTTTACAAACACTAAATAACAGAAATATAATAAGAAATATATTAATATATTGAAAAATAAAAATAAAAATAAAACTAAGAATATAGATAAGAGAATAGATAGAAATATAGAGAATTTACTTACAAGTTAGTTGTTAGGGAGCGAATGCGAGCTGCATAAGAAGGAAGACTCTCTGCGTTGCTAACTGCTATATAACGAAATACTAAGCTTGATGGGATGAAAAGGGGGGCTGGGGGCCTGCGTGGATTATAACCACCTGCATGGTCGCATGGTCACGTGATATGGGTTAGGCCTAATCGGGCGCCCCGCATGGTCGCATGGTCACGTGATGTGGGTTAGGCCTAATCGGGCGCCGAGCTTAATCCGACGTCGAGTCTAACCGGGCACCGGCCTTCGGTCGGACGCTGAGCCTAACATCACCCCCCGGTCTAGGGGCAGGCATGTCCTCATGCCGGTAGGTCATCATCAACCTCGTCCTTCAGGTAGCTGTCTGTCTCCCATGCCTTCAGCCACTCATCTAGTCGCCTTGAGGGCCCAGCTTTTGTAGGATTAGCCTCATGGAAGTCGCGTATGGCGTGTGATGATCCTTTGAAGTCGTGAGCAGGGTATCATGAAGAATTCTCATCAAACCTCTTCCAGTGCACCTGGTACTGCAGCTTGCTCCAGCTTATTCTACTGGCCAGTATACAATCTATTTCCCATTCATTCTCATCATCTATTTCAATTGGGTCTGGTGGTCTGATAGTCTGGCCAGGTAGAGGGTCTCTGGAGTCCTTGCATAGCTTGTCTGGGAAGAAGATTGAATGAATCTTCATTGTTATGGAGAGGTCCAGTTTGTAGGCATTGTCCATCTTTTCCAGGATTCTGAAGGGACTGGCATTCTGCTCTGCCAGTTTACAGCTTGATTGATTCATCTTGTATGATTTCAATGTTAGATAAACAAAATCTCCTACTGCAAAGTCAGGCTCTTGATGATGCTTGTCAGTCTGCCTCTTCATCTGTTCCTGTGCTGTCTTTATGCCTTTACTTGTCTGATTTCAGATCTCTCTCATTCAGTGAATGAAGCTCCTTGCTGCTTCTCAATTTCTTTTCTCATTTATGTTCAATTTTTCTGCCAGTGGTTGTCAGTCAAATGACATTCAGAGTTCATATTCATTTGCTGTGAGGAAGAGGGAGATCCCTGTGGAAGCATTTGAGGTAGCTGTGGAGGCATGATCTATAATGAGCAGTCACTCATCCCAGTCATCTTGGTAGTAACTGACATATGGGTGAAGATGGATGGCAATGTATTGATTCATCACTTCTGTCTGTCCATCAGTTTATGCATGATGCACTGTTG